TAACTGTGTAGGCTCTCCAAATATCCATGCATACTCATCAAGAACCTGCTTGAGTTCCACAGATTCCTCAACCTTTTCAGGTTATGTCACCCCCACTTCCTTGCCTTCTGCCTCTCTTACCTTGACCATGAAGAACTGGGATCCTTCAATGGTCAGTTGTTCATTGCTTTTGCTTGAACTGTTTTGAATTTAGGCTGAATCCCTTCTAAAGTGAGCAGCTGCCCTTTATACTCAAATTCAATCATGAGCTTTCTAAAATTGAACTTAATATGCTTTAAGGGGTAGAGCCATTGTATTCCCAATACTACGTCACTTTTGCCAATTGGAAATACCAGAAAGTCATCCTGGAACACAGCCCCTTGCATTAACCATTGGAATCCCTTACATATACTATCTGTGGGCACTTCCCTACCATTAGCCACTTGTACTAACTGAGGTTTAGTCTTGCTTATTTGGCACCCTAACCTTTTTGTTGTCCCTTCATCTATGAAGTTGTGTGTAGAGCCACAATCAATGAAGATTTCTAGTGGTCTTTGCTCTATGAACCCTCTCAACCTTAAGGTTTGGTAACCTAAGGTTCCATTTAAATCCTGGAGAGATATAGCACAGTTCTCAGGGTGTTCCTTAACTATCTCTTCTCCTTCTTATCTATTTGGATCTCTTCCTCCTCCTCTATTGGTACCTCACTTGCTTCCAGTTCTAGTGAAAACAATTGCCTCTTAGCCTGGCATTTGTGACCAGGCACAAACTTCTCATCACAAAAGAAACACAATCCTTGAGGCCTCTTCTCCTCCATTTCTGCTGGACTCAACCTCCTTCTTCTATTGTTATCAAATTTAGCTGTGACTAGTTTCTTGAGTGTATTCAAGTTGCTCCTGGGCCAATTGTTTTGACCATGACTCATGTTCCCTCTATTCACAGATGACACAGAATTGCCCATTTGTATAGCCTTACTCTGAGCTGCAAAGCTGGATTCATGTAGCCTAGCTAAGTAGAAAGCCTGAGGCAATGTACCACGATTCTCAATTCTCACAGCATGGCTAAGTTCTGGCTTGAGGTTGTTTAAGAATATGCTGATAGCATGTTCTACAGATATGTTGAGCCTAGTCATAACATTGATAAAGGCCTTTTGGTAATCCTTACTGTCCCTATGTGCTTGATGTTCATAATCTCAGTCATTGAATCAGTGTATTCAGCCTCAAAAGTATCACACAAGGCCCAGATATACTCCTCCCAAGTAGGAAGAGGTGATCGTCCCCTGCTCCTCGTATATCCCAAGTGCCACTGAAGGGCATCACCTTCAAAGTGAAGAGATACTAGCTTCATTTTCTGTTGGATGGTGACTTCCTCTTCAACAAAGAACTGCTCCACCTTATACAACCAAGTTCTCAAATATTCACATCAAACTTAGGGAACTCAACCTTGGTGTACTTAGTAAACGGCAAGTTAGGATATGCTACACTTTGTATGTTTGGTTGGGTTGTATACATGGGACTGTTTTGGTAGGGTATATGTGCAGGGGTAGGCTGAAGAGGTGTCTAAATATAGGGTGTTTGGTGGTACAGGGATGATGAATATGTGTAGGTTGCGGGTAATATGATGGTGGATAAGTGCCATATGACATTGGCATGTTCTAGGCAGAGTAGTAGGGTCTATTGGCACCATGAGGAGTAAGAAATGGTTGAGGTTAGACCGTGGTAAATCTGGGTTGAGGAGAGAAGCCTTGCTGCGTTGGTTGTGTTTGGAACTGGTTAAACTGAGCTATGGCAGCTCGACCTAGTGCTATAGGGGCTTGGGGTTGAGAGATGGTGCTGCAGGAAGTGGGAGAGGGTTAAAATTAACAGGAATAACAGGTGGAGGTAACTGAGAGTTGGGAATTTGGTTGCTCAGAGTCAATGGAACAGTATTATTACTTGTCCCTAGAGGAATCGAACTGTTAACACCAACAGAAGAAGGAGTAGCTACCTCACCTAGGTCGAGTGGTTTATCACTTGGTGAATACAGCTACCCCCACTATGGTTGAGATCTTTGTCTCTCTCTCAGGTCTCTTTCCTCCATGAATGACCTCGTTCAACACTTCTCTAATTTCATTCGAGGCTTCCTCTTGATTTCTGCAAGATTGCTCATGGCCAGCTTCAAGCTGGTCTTGCTTAGCTGTAAACCCTGTCATCTCTGTAGAAAATTGGTGTAACATTTTCATGACTTCATTCAATTCCACCATTAATCCATAGAGCCGAGGTCGTGCTCTGATACCACTGTTGCAGCTGTCAATGGAACAGTAAAAAAAATGAATAAAAGACTAAGCTAAAAAGAATAAATTTAGGGTAAGAGGAAATATATATATATATATATATATATATATATATATATATATATATATATAGACACACACACACACACACACTCAGTAAAAGACAAAGCTAGCTAACCAACTCTATGCGACCAAAAGTAATGCTAAAGGCTAATTACATGGGTCCAATTGTAAACATACAAAAGTATTAAATAAACTATAAGGGGGACTAAAGTATCACAATCCCAAAAACTATAAACTCCCGTGTTTAAACTGATCCTAACGGCTAGTTACAACTCCGCAAGCTCAATGTACAACTCCCTAAGCTTCTTCTAGGTTTTCCCAAATGCCCCCTTGCTGCTTTCAAAGCTACACTTGCTTCCTTCCTTCATAAGCTATTTTGACTGCATATTAGATTATTCATGATATTTCATACCAAATTTACATCGGTAATAATGCACAAAAATAAGAAATTTCCCAAACATATCGGTACCTTGGGCTATTGTTAGTTGTTGTTTAATAATTAACTTATGCTTTGGTTGAACTGAAGATGACAATCTGGGTCTAAGATATGGTGGGGAAGAAGACAAAAAGAAGAGAGAATAGGGGAGATGGGGGAATAGAGGGAACTATTGTTTGGCTTAATTTGTGTAATGCTCAAAAAGCCTCCCATGCTAATGTGTTGGCACTAAAATTTAAGGGCATTTTTGAGAAGTCAAATATATATATAATGCTAATCTGATACAACCATGCAGTAGGTTAGCAAAACACACACACACACACACACACACACACACACATATATATATATATATATATATATATATATATATATATATATATATANAGTCGGGCAGCTTTTCAGATCGACAAGACAACACATATAACGTAGTATTTAACCGTGCTATATATATTCACACATAACGTAGTATTAAACCGTGATATATATATATATATATATATATATATATATATATATTCACTTATTCGCATCTCATACATATGTAAAAGTATGGCATAAATTTGATTTGCTCCTGTAAATTACCATAAAGAATTACTAGAATACTCCAAGGAGGTAATGATTAAATATACCCGTGTACTATGAATAAAGGTGGCAAGTCATGTGGCATTCCCCTTATCAAATGCCAGTGTCACATAGCTTTGGACAAACTTAACGGAAAAAAGGTATATTTGAACCAATAGTATAACGACAAGGGTATATTTGAACTCAAAGTATAATGAGGGATATATTTAAATTTTTTCTGATAGTACATAGATATATTTAGCCCTTTTCCGTTATTTATTCAATTAAGAAAAGATTATGTCAAAATTCTTTTTTATTCTTTCGTGTCACTAAAACCTAAAAGCACATGGCTTTGGATTTTGTTTGGGAAAATTCACTTTTGACTTTTTCAACGCTTCCATGTGTAAATTACCATAAAGAATTACTAGAATACTCAAGGAGGTAATGATTAAATATACCCTCGCAAATCATGTGACATTCACCTTATCAAATGTTAGTGTCACATAGCTTTGGACAAACTTAACGGAAAAAAGTATATTTGAATCAGTAGTATAACGACATAGGTATATTTGAACTCAAAGTATAACGAGGGGTACATTTAAACTTTTCTGATAGTATAACGGTATATTTAGAGGGTGTTTGGCTAAGCTTATAAGCTGGTCAAACTAGCTTATAAGCACTTTTCGGCTTATCTACGCGTTTGGTAAAGTTAAAAGTGCTTATAAGCCAAGTGCTTATAAGTTAAAAATAAGCCAAAATCCATAAGCTGATCACCCCCAGCTTATGAATTTTTAGCTTATAAGCACTTTAAGTTTGACCAAGATTTTTACTATTTTATCCTTAAAATATTCTTTTTTAGAACAAAACTCTTACATCGATACTCATTGCCTCAAGTATTGTTTCAACCTAAACCCCTCCCCTCTGCCTCTTCAATTTTTCAATTCTTGACTATTTAAGATAACCAAATTCTCTATTCCTTTGCATATTTGTATCTATGTGATTGTGTATTAATCTTTGAATTGTATGTAATAAATGAGGACATATCAAATTTTTGGTGTATTGCTTTCTAAGTGTTATGGTGATGAAGATAGTGTTTGTTTCTCTTCAAATATTTTTTCCTATTTAGGTTTATTTTTTACTGAGAAACTTTTGTCAATTTATTAATTATTACAATTTATGATTATATGTTTATCATAAAAGTTATCTTATCTAAGCACGGTGTATTTAAAATAAAATGACAAATAGAATATTTTGTATTTAAATCGATCTGGAATCTTAAATTTTGAAAAAATTACGCCCTTATAAGTGTAAACAATAAGGTTATTTAAGTCATTTTAACAGAAAAAGAGCTTATCAGTACTTTTTTTTATAAAATACTGCAACAGCTTATTATCAATTTCAGCACTTGTATCCAAACACGTAACTGCTTATTTATTAAATCAATTTCAGCACTTAAAAGTGCTTTTGAGCACTTAATGCTTATCAGCTACTTCCGAGCGGCTAATCCGGGCTCTTAGCCCTTTTCCTAATAAATAAATACGTCATTACAAAATGATTTTTCCCCTGCATTACAGTCTATGTAACCTTTTGTGCACTTTAGTCTATCCTTCGCCACGTCATAATTTTAATCAATTTCGGTTGTCTGTGTTTTCTGATAATTGCAAACTTATTCCTCTAGTACTGCTAAATAATAAAAAAAAAGTAACTAAAGAAGTCGGTAAAGAATTGTAAAGAAAAATAATTTTGCAGAGAAAATTGTTGAGGTTGAAGGAGGTGGTTGCCGGAGAGAAGTCACTCAATTTTTTTTCTCGATTCTGAGATAGTATCATAGGAAAGTGAATTGAAAGATATGAGATCGGGTGGAGGAGTAGAATATGAATCCGCCGGCTTGGGAATGTCTAGCAGTTATGCCGCAACGGGTGCTTCTTCAACCTCAATTCCTATTCATTCCTCCAACCTTGGTTTTAAGGTCTGCCCTCTCTCCTTTAGCTTTTCCCCAAATCATAGTATTTCTTTAAATATTAAAGAATGTTTTTAGTAAACAGTGCTTTTCTTCATATTCAAGCCATTATAATCCAGTCTGAACCCAGGAACAAAATACGTAAGAGAATTGTTGTTTGTATTTGATCAATCTCTTTTAAATCTTTTAGTGGGCAAGCTGTCCTGCTCAGGAAAAAAAGCTAGCGATTTTGTTATTTGTTGCTCCTTTCGCTCTGTTTGGATCATTGTTACCTATTGTTTTATATTGTATTGTATTGTATCGTTCTATGGATACAATATTTGGATATATTTTATCGTTTGATATCGTTAAATACTCCTTCCATTTCAATTTAGACGAGTTAGTTTGACTCGGCACGGAGAAAAGAAAAGAAAAGAAGACTTTTGAAACTTCTGGACTTAAAAGCTTAAGGGGTAAAAACTTTGTGGGGCCATGACATTTGTGTCATTATAAAAGCTTCTCATTAAGGATAAATTGGGTAAAATGAAGAGTTTAAAGTTAGAATTATTTCCAACTTTAGAAATGTGTCATCTATTGTGGAATAGACTAAAAAGGAAAGTACCTCATGTAATTTAAAACGGAAGGAGTAACATTTTTGTTGTTTGATTTGACTGGACTATAGCTGATAAGTTTACAAAATATCCCCGACTTCGGAAAAACATGAACACTAGCTTTTTCATCAAAAGGATGGCACTAAAGTCACATAATTATGCTTGTGTAATTCTTTGTAATCTGCTCCATATATTCATGTACTTCTTTATGCAGTAAGCGATTCCATATATTCATGTATTTTTTATAATCTGTTATTTTGAAGAACAAAAATATGGTCATGGAAAATAAGGGAAACAACCCGAGCAAATTAAATAGTAAACTAAATCAGCAAAAAGTATCCAAATAACATGGATTGAGATAAAGGATACAGAAAAAAGAACAGGAAAATATTACTCTTATTGTTAGGTAGAGTTGGGCAGTTAAGGCACCGGTCCAAGCATGAATATTTTATATTGGACATATAACTCATAGAGTCTCATACTGTGATGAGTTTGACCCGACCTCCATCTTAACCAGTTAATCATCTTGCTGTTGTCTCGACTTCCCCCTACATTTTATAAAATACTAACTATAAGGGTTCTTTGTTTCTTCAGTTGTTGAAAAAGCATGGCTGGAGAGAAGGAACTGGACTTGGCATTGCTGAACAGGTACTGCTTTCTTTTTCCTTTCAATTCTTTTGAGTTAACCATCTCCTTCTATTTCGTCTACTACTCGGTTCCCTTGTTTTTTCCTGTTTAAACTTTGATGTATTAATTGTACTTTTCTGCATTTATTGAACGGATCTGTTCTTTTAGTTTTAAGACTATGCGAGGCTTTTGCAATTTCATTGTGTGCTGAGATTGTCTTTTCTGGCATTTACCATTTTATCTGGTTGTTTGTTAACTGAAACTCCTGCTCTGTGACTGAATCCGATTTGATGGTTAAGCACATGTTGGGAATGATTTATTCTTTGTCAGTTTAAAAAAAGTTAGTTGTGCCTTTAAAGATTTTCATCTCTGGACTTTCATCAAAGAAACAAAACAACAAAGGAGAAGGAAAAAAAAGAACTTTCATCTCCGGACCATGGAGAGGAGTGTACATACCAAGTAGTCGCTCGCCTTTTAATCTTTTCGTTAAATCACCTGAGAGGGGGTACTGATCCCAAAAAGAAAAGGGGGGGGGGGGAGGGGTTACCGATCCAACAAATAGTATATTAGAGAGGAGGCGCAACGCATATATTAAAAGGATATAAAAGTTATCCAATGATCATTTATTGACCTATCGTGATATCCTTTTGCATGGCCACATGCTAAATTCATAGGTATGGTCAACCAACACCAAACATTAGTTCTTGTTTTGGAGTATTTTAGTGTTTCTTTGCAAAGCAGAGACTTTTATCTAGCGCCTTTGTATCACCTTCTCAACTTTTTTCTAGGTCCAGTGCTTTATCTTCTCCTCTTGCACTCGCCCTCTTCGGTAATACCCATTTGTGGACCTCCATCAATAGCACACATCTTTTATCTTCTCCTCCTGCACTCCCCCTCTTTGGTAATACCCATTTGTGGACCTCCATCAATAGCAAACATCCTTATCTGACTTCTTCCCTCTTTTTCTCATGTGCCTGATTTGTCGGCCTATGTTGATGAAGATCGTGATAAATGCATCAACAATTAACCATTCCCATGCACCTACTATCTGGCTTCCTCACTGCCACAATCCTAAAGCTTATCAAGGCCGTGATGGCGCCTAAATTGCTTGCTAGGCAAGCCAACACTCAACAACAACAAAAGATTCCAATTATTAAGCCTTTAAATGTTTCATGATATAAATAATAATACGGAATAAATTTCAATTTAATATCATAAATATTTAATCAATGATAATAATACGGAATCAGAGATAACAAAAATACACAGAACCAAAAAGATAAGAGATAACAAAAATACATAAGTTACCACTTGAACTATGCACTAAATCCCTGTTACACACTTTCTGACGGCGAAAATTATTTTACATACTCAACCTTTCGAAAGTGCATCTAATACATACCACTTTTTTCTTTACCAATTTTATAAAGCATGTGTAATGTCACGCACCAATACAATCGCGACACGTGTCATTGTTATTTTAAAAAAAAAAAAATAGAACACTCAAATTTACAACTACACCCCTTAATCATCTTCTCCCTCTCATCCCTTTCTCTTCTCCGGCAAAGTATAACCTGCCGCCAACCACAAGAAAAATCCACCAAAAATTAAAAGCCCAAGTCAACTGCCTTTTTTATTTTTATACAATAGTGGCCGACTCCTAGCTTCTAGTGCATTCTTTTTTTTTCTAAATTTTTTGAGATTCAAAATAGAAAAGCTCAAGGAAATGCGAAGAATCCGAATTCTTGAGATGTGTGGTAGATATTAAGAACAAGTACAACTGAATCATGGAGTTAGTCTTTTTCCTTCCTCCATTATCCCCATCTTATCACTGTTGTCACTGCTATAGCTTGGATTATAATTTCAATTGCAAAACCATCTTCAAATTCGCTTTAATTTGCTGTAGCGATTTGCATTTGCTGGAAGGTGATTTGGGGAAGAAATGAAAAATAATGGGGGAGGCACAGGGGTCTAGGCGGGGGATGGCAAGGCACAAAAAGACAGATCTGGTTTCTTCCTTTTTTGGTTTCTTTTCATCAGAAGAAAAGATATAAGAAAAAAGAAAAATTCATGACACATGGCATTTAATTAAAGATCTGAACAAAAATTTTGAAGTTTTACGCGCTCTCTCTTTTAGTTAAACACGCGCATGCCATCTGGCAAAGTGGTGTGTCTTAGACACACTTTTGAAAGGTTAAGTGAGATGATTTTAGCTGTCAGAAAGTGAGTAACAGGGATTTGGTCCATAGTTGAGGTGGTAACTTATGTATTTTGCCATTTAACTATGAACTAGTTAAACTCCTTGAATTCCTATAATAAACACTAATCTAGGAAGAACAAGAACAAGTAACACGGATTAAGCTAAGTAAATAATGCAGTTCAAATCCCCTAGTAGATATATCAACTATAACAACGAATTAACATTCAAATACAAAAAATAATCCAAGAGTATGAACATGAACTCATACATGACTAACATAACATAGATAATCTAAGAGAACATGGTAAATAAAGATATAATAAAAATGCCCTAAGCCTTTGAAGGTTTGTCTTTGTTTATCAATCCATCATAAGCTCCTTTCAAAATGAGAGGAATTGACTATTTATACTAGAGTGCTATTTAGGCTAGATGACCAAAATTCCCTTAAGTGGGATTCTACTGGGTGGTTGTTGTTGACCAAAATACCCTTAAGCTAGTGAGGAAGCTAAGTAGAGTCAAATTACAAAGCTAACCTAAATTAGTTTTGAAAATCTAATAAAGCTAGTAAGGAAGCTAACCAGAGTCAACTTACCCACAATGTAGTGATGAAAATCTCCTCAAAACCGCCTCTTCTCGAGCTCCAAAACATTGTGAGAAAGTGACAAAATCCCGAAATAAATAAAAAAATGCAGCAGTTGTCCCCGCCCGAATCAGATGTTAGATGATTCTGAAACTCATCTTTGGCAAGCCCAACACAATCTTTGGGTGAAATGACCCAAGATAGCCTTTTGAATCACTCAATTTGGCCTTAAGATGAGAGAGATTTGATGTTTTGAAGTTTTAAAGAAAGACTGAAATTTATAGACGAACTCAGGGACATAACCGGTATTTTCGGGATTGTCGCACCAGAAAATTTAGCAATTGCAAAATCTTAGTTTTAGCACCCGAAACTTATTCGGAACCTCCCGGACACAAATATGCATTTCAATCGTAAAACACGCTACAACCCTGCTCGCGCACTCAAAACACCGAAAGGAGATCGTTTTGACCCGATGTTGACCGTTGTCAAACTCCAAATCCTTAACTTAACTACTCTCTCAACCATGACCCAAAAACACACCCGAGCCTCTCGGGACCTCGTCTAATTATAACAACAAGTACAAATACATTGTCCAAACTTATCAAAAGGCTCGAAGCACCACAAATAGCATCAGAATGAAGAATCGAAGATCAAATCATTCTCTTAAGTTTCATACATTCCAGCTTCGCCAAACGCGTTCGCATCACACTTAGACATTCCGGATCACAACAAAACTTTGCACACTAGTTCCAGTCCACTAAATGAACCTAGCCAAAGTCTCGGAACACCAAACGGGCCCCGATAACACCAAAGTCAACTTCCGGTCAAACCTATGAACTTTCCAAACCTTCAAATTATTAACTTTCGGCAAATAGAGCCAAAAACTTCTAGGAACCTCCGAATCCAAATCCTAATATATGCCTAAATCCAAAATAACCATACAAACCTATTGGAACCATGAAATCCTGATTCCGATGTCGTTTACTCAAAAATCAAACCTTGATCAACTCTTCCAACTTAAACCTTCCAAATTGAGAATCACTCTTCCAAATCAATCACGAACCTCTCGAAAGTCAAAACCAACCATACACTCAAGTCATATTGCATCATATGAAGCTATTCAAGACCTCAATCAGTCAATCTACCGAATGTTATGCTAGAGCTCAAAACGACTGGCCCGATTATTACACTCACCCTGCTCACCCTTCAAGAGAGATTTGTCCACTAACCGCCTTTAAAAAGAATGGCTAGCCAAGCTGCAAGCCAACATTATGGTCATTTGATTCTTCTATCAAAATGTGATGTAGGTAATTTGTCTTTACTTTTGGATTCCCTAGTTGCATTGTGTTGCAATGTGAATTGTTTCTGATCTGCTTGTGGCCTTAACAGGGCAGATTGGAACCTGTGCCAACTTATATCAAGAAAAATAAGAGAGGCTTGGGAGCAGAGAAGTCAAAGAAGGCAGCAGAGCACCATAAAAGTTCCGGGCTTTCCTTGGGCGGGAAGAATGTAAAAGATGGGGAGAAAGAAAAAGTAAGTTTCCATTGCTCTGAATCCGTATTATAGCATTTGTTTCAAAATTGATGCTATTTAAAGCATTTTGCTCTGTAGTTTGGGTTGGCAGGCTTAAGTAGAAATTTAACATGCATTTACGAATTCCATACATAAATAACCTATACATATGATCCTTTCATTCTCTTCAGTGAGAGGGATAGATACAGTTGCCACATGTGAGAAAAAGTGCTTGGTGTTTGTAAGTGCAACAATTTTGAACTTTGCTAAAGGACATGTGCTTTTGACGGGAGGGGAAGTGATGTAGGAAAAAGGTTTATTAACCTACAATAGGGCAAGGGAATAACTAACGGTCCTTTGGCTGAAATAGAGCTGATCTAATGTCTGGGTTTGGAGAAAGTTGATGGCCATAGAAAATAGTATGGAAGATCCACCTAGATTTCTTGAAATTTGACCCTTTGAGGTGTGGTTATGTAGCACCAATTAAGAAGTTCTCTTAACATAAGCTTTAAGCAATGAATATTCTGGACTATGTAACATGAGATGCTATAATGCATTAATACAATTCCATAGAACTTATCTTTGCACCGGTGAGATAATAGATTCTGTGACCCATACTGTTGGAGGCTTTTCGACACGGCTAGAATATTTTTTTTTTAGAATCCAGTTTTACAGTTAATATAGAAGTTGATTTGCTTTTTTTCCTCCACTAATATCATTGCATACTTTGTCCCGGTCCATGTGAGAAAGTAAGAAATAGGGAAAAGGCATAAACCCCTCCTAAACTAAGGACGGATTTTTAGTTACACAGCTCATCTTTGTGAGGATCTTATTACCCCCTCTAATATTTCAGAGTGGAATTAATTCCCCCAAGCTCCAATGTGCCAGAGAGAATGTAATTCTTTCTCTTTGGGAGAGTGAGAAGCCAAAAAAAAGTGCCAAAAATTTAAGTGTGGTCCCCGAAAATGTTTCTTTCCATTGAAACTGCCTGAGACACTCTGCAATCTCCATCGACGATGTTCATTGGATTGTGGCTCTCTATATAACATGGAAATTAAGAAGAAAATGAGAAAAGTACTTTCAGTAAAGCAGAGTATGCCTTGTGCATAAGGACATTGGGGGTTTGGATCAAGTGGTTGGTTTCACAGGATTGAAGGAAAATGAGTGCTGATTTGTCTATGAATTACTGGACCTATTGGAGAAGGTGGAGTCTTGGAGGGAAAATCTGAAGGATAAATAAACACCTAAATTTAGAAGATTGAGGTTGCTAAAGGTAACTAGAAAGCTGAAGGAATGGAATAGAATAGATGTCATATAAAAACTGATATTTTCAAAGATACCAAAATACATCTTCTTTGTTCCATTATTTCCACTCCTCTGAAGAGGGGAAAGATCTGAACCTACCCAGTTTAGTTTGATGATGTGCGAATTAGTTACTTTGTCCACCTATATGATGCAATACAGGTAAAAATAAAAAGTTGAAAGCAGAAAAATTGCATTAGTCAATTTCCAAGCAATTGTATGTTTTTATTGGCCATCAGATCATTTGAAGGATGAAGTATGGATATACATATTTTTTATTTGTGTCAGTAGGATTCGTTGCCAAACTGCATAGTGAGTTTGTTAATGTGTTTATACGTCTCTGCTTGAGGTTTGATGTTTTCGCTTATCGGCTTTGCACTAAATTTGCTTTATTTTTTTTCCCGAAAAAGGGCCTAAACTACCCCCGTTGTTTGTTACCCTGTGGATTATTACTTTTTTGGACGAATAGATCGAAGGAGGGAGGGTATCTTTAAACCATTTTGCAAACGATAAGGGTAGTTTAGGCTCTTTTCCCTCTCTCTCTCTCTCTCTCTCTCTCTCTCTTTTTTTTTTTTTTGTAGTTGGCAACTTTTTCTTTTGCATATTACACTGCTTACTATGGTACTGTTTGTTCAGGCTTCTGATGTACAGAAGACAAAGGGAATCTCTAAAAAGATGAAGAAAGTACTAGAGTTTGAGAAGCACTTGCAAGAGAAAGAATTTGAGCGAGCATTTTTTAGGGAATTCTGGCCAGATAATGTTTAGTTCGTTCCCTTGTCTAATTTTGTGTTCCGCCATATATTTCAGCCACAGTTGATTGTTTCCTTTTGCCTCTTCGATGAATATTCATTATCTTAGTTTTAAACATATTTAGAATGATATCCAATCTTGAGATATTTGTAAATTGAAGTGTACGTTACAACAAATGAATATCAAATGTATCAGTATTTAAACAAGTACTTGGTCCGTCCCATATTAACCAATTCCATTGGCTTAGGTATCTTCTTCAACATCTTGATTTGAGAATGTTATTCAATATTTTTTTCTTCCAATTTTTGGGTATGTGTTTTATCTTTACAATCTAAAGTCCTACAAGCAACAACCATGCGAAATTAGCTAGTATGATATTTGTAAAATGCCTAACAAAATAGTTGGAAAATGTATGAGATTCTGTATCGAGAACATCAATTTTTCATATCGATTTTCGGTTCGGAGACTGATCAGTGCATATTCGAATGGCATAGAATGCAATTGATTCCTAATCTTAATACACAAGTGGAAGTTCCAGATATACCTTTTCAGTTGGAATGTAAGACATTGATACGGGGATAATTTTGCATCTGAAAAAAAAATTTGTTTAGAAAGATCATTAACGTTTTAAGAGTTCATTTGTAGGGATGGCAATGGGGCGGGGCGGGTGCGGGTTAAAATAATTTTTAAATTTTTTAAAGCGGGGCGGGGCGGGTTGCGGGTTCTATGCGGGGCAACTTTAAATTTATCTTTTTTGAAATAAAGCGTCTTTGTTACTGTAGCTTTGCTTGATACCAGCAACCCTGCTAACCAGCTTGATCTCCAATTCAGGGAAAGCATTAATTTTCGCAATTCTTATATTATAAGTATAATTTAATCAGTACTATACTATTTATCCTAGGTTATCGCTATATACTTTCTTTTAGATGATAAAGAAACAACAGTACTATTATATTCAAAAACCCTGCTAACCAGCTTGACTTTTACTCTTGTATTCAAAAAGTTCTAATCGTGTTATTCAGAAAGTTTTATTGGCGTAGTTTATAATACGGAGTATTATTTATGATTCTTCTACGTAGATTTAAGTGATATCAGTAGATTAATAGAATTTAAATTAGATTTAAAGGAAATATTATACTAGGATTTTAGATGATAAAGAAAATTTTCATACGTTTTCTTTTGGTACACTTTTATGTGATTCTATTAAATTCTCTATTTTATATAATAATAAAATATCAAACTAGTTTGTTTTAGAAAAAAATTAATGAAAAAAGAAAAAAATTAAGTGGGGCGGGGCGGGGCGGGTCCAAGCGGGCCGGGCGGGCGGGTTAAAAACTGAAAAAATAGCTATGCGGGGGGGGGGGGCGGGTTGAAATTTTTGTAGGTTTTGTACAAACCCGCCCTGCCCCGCCCCGCCCCATTGCCATCCCTAATCATTTGGCTAAATATTTAAGCTGGTAAAATAGGCTTGTATGAACTATTTAGCTTATTTACGCAATTGGTAAATATCAAAAGTGTTTATAAACTAAAATCAACTAAAAGCCATAAGTTGGTCACCCCTCCAACTTATGACATTTCAATTTATAAGCATTTTTGGCTAGACCAAATTTTGTAAGATTTTATCCTTAATATTTTTTTAGATACTCAAATACCTTTCCCAAAACAAAACCTCGAGCTTACTTTTTACTACATAACTATCGTTCCTCCTTTTTTTTATATAAAAATAATTGACAGATACATATAGGGCTACCTAAAATTGGTACAGACTTTCACTCAGCTACCTTAATTAAGCGGTGTACCGATTAGCTACTCAACCTGTACTCAATATATGTCTATTAAACACAAAATGCTGAAATGGCAGAAAAGTGTGTTTCACTGCTCCTTAGGCGCGTGAGAAGTTCAAAAATTCATTTTCTCTTTTCTTTTTTAATTGAAAAATTATTTTTTTTAGAAACCACCATCAAAACCACCCTACCACCGCTTCCCTGCCACTATTCCGCCAAATCTCTGCCATTGCCGCCATCACAAGAATCAGGCTACCACCAAAGTACGATCAATTTCAGAGAATTGCCGCCACAAATCTTTCTCTCTCCACTTTCATCCAATTTTCTTTTATTTTACTTCTCCATTACAATAAATTCTCAAAAAACAAAACAAAACTCTATCTTTTTCTAATCTTCTCCACAATCCACCTTCATTAATGGCTACTCTCTTCCTTCTCATCCACTCATTCCACTGTTTTGCTCAAAAGATACTAATTAATTTATAAGCGAAAAACAATCAAAATAATTCACAGGTAAATCGTGATCGAATATAATGAGACCTAGAAGTTTGTATTATGCTTGTATTGTTTCAACAACTTGGATATTCGAGAGAGTAAGAGAAAACTTGTTTAGAGAGAGAGAGAGAGAGAAATAGAAAGAAAGATAGCTTATTATTGAAAGATCTCATGCCTTTTACAACACTGGGATTCTCCTTTATATAACAAGAGAACCCCCTCAAAAATAATAAAATAATACAGGGATAGGTCACGTGCTTTCGAGTAGACGACGAGACCTAAGGGCATGCTTTCGCTCTGACATTCTTAGGTCGTCCCCTCTACATCGGTTATTATGTAGTCGTGGGTTGTTGCTAGCGTAGTGGGCAGAATTTCACCCCATACAGATAGTCCCTCCGTTCGTTGGTGACGTAACGAAGTGCGTAGCCGATGGATGGAACCATGATCCTTGTATTAGGAAAATTTTGACCATGTTTGGAGACAACGACGTGGAGGGGTGATCATTTGAATTTGTTGACATATTGGCGCGCAATTCCCTCCCTAAGATGACGTCACCATATGCAGGCGTCATCATTACGCGTGTTCCCGAGGAAGTACAAAAGGTGTTCTGATGCTTGGTTTCTCGCGCCTGTTTGGGGTCTTGCCTCTTCGATTTCGACGCTACCCAACCCTATAAATAGGGAAAGGGTTCAACTTAGCCTAACTTTAGATCATCTGCAAACGTTTTCCAACTATTTCAAGAAAACGCTTCCTTTTTACGAAAAATCACCGCTTCCCTGAAAGTACACTTGTGGTGTAGTACATCACTCCTTAATCGGAAACCATGACAAAACCTGAACGGGATAACGCTCCGGGGGCTCGTAATAATAAATCATCTGACATACCGTCTCCATCCGGCGGCAGTAAGGGAGAGAAAGGGGAGGATCTCACCCCTCTTACCATAGATAACGTGCTCCCGAAGCAACTCCTTATTAGGAGAGACTTTCAACGGGATTCTCCCGAACAACTTTGGGAGAAATCAGAGTTAAAACAAACTGATTTAGATACTCTTCGTGTGTCGTATGGTATACCCACTCACGTGGAGATGATTTTAGCAAGAGAGGACTACGCGAACACCCATAGACCGGGGTACTGTACGTTTTACGAATATCCCTTTTTGATCGGCTATGGCCTCCTCCTTCTTCCGTTGGCGGAAGAACTCTGCCGTTTCTACAACATGTGTCCCACCCAACTCACTCCGTATACCCTAAAGGTATGTAGGGTAATGTTTACATACGCGGAGCTGGCCGGGCTGGAGGTCTCCGTCCACCACCTATTGCAGCTATTCATCGCCAGCTACCTGAGGGGAACCATGCTGTATCTAAAGAATCGTGGCTCGAAGGGGTTGGTCGTGCAAACCGACGATCGGGCTAACCGGGGCTATTGGCGTAGATACTTCTTTATCAAGACGGAGCACCTGGTGTCTAACCCCGTCGGATTCCCTGAGAGGTGGAATTTGAGACGTAAGTATTCCTATCCGTCGAGTCATTTATCGTACGTGACTTTAGCGGTATCGATTATACCATCCTTATGACTTTTCTGTTATTTTGCAGCAATAGCTCACGTCCCCCGGTTCATAACCGATATTAAGCAGTGGGTGTCCGGTCTGCTGCCTCTCGCGGAAGAGACCCGTACGTGGGCTGAATTCATTGAACGTTACGGTCCTGCGAGCCCTTCAGGTATTTCTTCGACTTTAACTAGCCGCTTTCACGAACTTCGTCAGCTAAATTATTTTTATTGCCAGGTCGAAGTGCTCCTAAGAGGTGGGCGATGGCATCCGCCTCCTCCCTGTCACACCTCCTTTTTCTTTACTACACCCCGCAAAGGGTGTATAGGAGTTTTTCCACTTAAAGGACAATCGGAACGGGATTTATTATTAAAATTCAGAGTCGCCACTTGGGAGATTAATGGTGTCCCAAGTCACCGGTTGAATCCCGAACCGAGGAAATTATGACTCTGTTAACAGTCAGCGAACCAGAAATCCGAGTAAGGAATTCTGTTAACCCGGGAGAAGGTGTTAGGCATTCCCGGGTTCCGTGGTTCTAGCACGGTCGCTCAACTGTCATATTTGGGTTATTTGTTTGATTTTAGTACATGTTTTAATCTATGTGCCTTTTAACTTTGAAACGCTTTTATTATTATTATTTTTAGGGAATTGCAACGTCGTGAAAATGTGTCTCGAACCACGTTGCACCAGTGCACCCGTGATTTTTGATACATTTCAACTTCGTTGAGATTTGAATTTTGGATCACATAAATGTGCACCCGAGTTTAAGAAGGTAAATTATTAATAGTGCACCTAAAGTGACTAGCGCGTGATTATCTTTGGGGAGGGCCGTGAAATTCGCTAGACGGCCCGTCCCGAATTCTAAGTTCTTTAATGTAACCATTTATCGAGAGCCCCGCAATTTTGCATTGTATTTGGCGAGGCTCGTCTCGTTTATTATTTAAAGGCTAGTCCTGAAGTAAACTACGACTTTTCATTTATTTATCTCTAATAACACAAGAAAAGGTCCTAATTAGTCAATAGACACAAACGGACAAAATTCCCAACAGACACAGGCGTTGGGCCTGATATTAGCCCAGATCGGACAAGCATATCAGGCTGCGTTGGGATGATCAAAAATCGAATCCCTGGAGCTGGCAAGCCACTGATTTGCTCAAACCTTTGCCCACCGAAATTATTCCGAACTCTTACGAGTGCATTCAATGACTGACAATAAAGTAAGCAATGTATTCTTATTCAAGTTAACAGAGTATTGATTACAAGTTACGAGCCTAAATTCATACTTTGATCATATCTAATTATCAAACAACCAACAATGTATTCTTATTCAACTAATTACCTCACTACTGACCCAGAATTGCCAACGCTTGCTTTAAAACAGTGTACTCAGGGAAACACAGGTTTTGACATTGAAAATTAACCTGCTTATATTAACT